CAGTAAGTGTTGGTCCAAATGCGCTGGCGCAGTAAGTGTTGGTCCAAATGCGCTGGCGCAGTAAGTGTTGGTCCCAATGCACTGGCGCAGTAAGTGTTGGTCCAAATGCGCTGGCGCAGTAAGTGTTGGTTCCAAAGCACTGGCGCAGTAAGTGTTGGTCCCAATGCACTGGCCCAGTAAGTGTTGGTCCAAATGCGCTGGCGCAGTAAGTGTTGGTCCAAATGCGCTGGCGCAGTAAGTGTTGGTCCAAATGTACTTGCACAGTAAGTGTTGTTTCAAATGCGCTGGCGCAGTAAGAGTTGGTCCAAATGCGCTGGCACAGTAAGTGTTGGTCCAAATGCACCGGTGCAGTAAGTGTTGGTCCAAATGTACTGGCACAGTAAGTGTTGGTCCAAATTCGCTGGCGCAGTAAGTGTTGGTCCAAATGCACTGGCGAAGTAAGTGTTGGTCCAAATGCACTGGCGCAGTACGAGTTGGTCCAAATGCACTGGCGCAGTAAGTGTTGGTCCCAACGTACTGGTGCAGTAAGTGTTGGTCCAAATGCACTGGCGCAGTAGGAGTTGGTCCAAATGCACTGGCGCAGTTGGACATTTTTCAAATGCACTGGTGCAGTATGAGTTGGTCCAAATGCGCTTGCGCAGTAGGAGTTGGTCCAAATGCGCTGGCGCAGTAGGAGTTGTATCAAATGCGCTGGCGCAGTAGGATTTGGTCCAAATGCACTGGCGCAGTAAGCATTGGTCCCAATGCACTGGCGCAGTAAGTGTTGGTCTAAATGCGCTGGCGAAGTAAGAGTTGGTCCAAATGCGCTGGCGCAGTAAGTGTTGGTCCCAATGCACTGGCGCAGTAAGTGTTGGTCCCAATGCAGTGGTGCAGTAAGTGTTGGTCCAAATGCGCTGGCGCAGTAAGTGTTGGTCCCAATGCACTGGCGCAGTAAGTGTTGGTCCCAATGCACTGGCGCAGTAAGTGTTGGTCCAAATGCGCTGGCGCAGTAAGAGTTTGTCCAAATGCGCTGGCACAGTAAGTGTTGGTACCAATGCACTGGCGCAGTAAGTGTTGGTCCCAATGCACTGGCGCAGTAAGTGTTGGTCCCAATGCACTGGCGCAGTAAGTGTTGGTCCCAATGCACTGGCGCAGTAAGTGTTGGTCCAAATGCACTGGCGCAGTAAGTGTTGGTCCAAATGCACTGGCGCAGTAAGTGTTGGTCCAAATGCACTGGCGCAGTAAGTGTTGGTCCAAATGCACTGGCGCAGTAAGTGTTGGTCCAAATGTACTCGCACAGTAAGTGTTGGTCCAAATGCGTTGGCGCAGTAAGAGTTGGTCCAAATGCACTGGCGCAGTAAGAGTTGGTCCAAATGCACTGGCGCAGTAAGAGTTGTTCCAAATGCGTTGGCGCAGTAAGAGTTGGTCCCAATGCACTGGCGCAGTAAGAGTTGGTCCCAATGCACTGGCGCAGTAAGAGTTGGTCCAAATGCACTGGCGCAGTAAGTGTTGGTCCAAATGCACTGGCGCAGTAAGTGTTGGTCCATATGCGCTGGCGCAGTAAGATTTGGCCAGTAGGGCTTCGCGCTAAAGACGTAAAATACTTAGTTACCTCAAATACCCCAAGCTGTTTACCTCAAATACCCCAAGCTTTTTACCTCAAATACCCCAAGCTGTTTACCTCAAATACCCCAAGCTGTGGTTACCAGCGTCCCGCATTTTTTTTAATGATCCACCCCTGCCGTTTGTAATAACTCACCGTTGACCGTTTGGCCCAGACGTCTGACGTGATGCCTACCGTCAAGAAGATGATGGCAATGACGGCACCCAGCACGGCAATAAATCTTGAAGTGAAGTTTTCTACCATGGTTACTGCGTGTGTTCAGCTGTAGTCTTGTAATATACAAATACTTAAGTTGTAGTCTAAATACTCCTGATTAAACCTGTCCACTGTATTCCAAAACCTAGTCTACAAGAACAACACAAATACAATTATAATGAATGGGTACTGCTAAAGTTTATGATTAAGATTAAGAATTTTGAGATTTTCACTTAGTCTAGACCGACAACAATAATCAACGTGTCAATTTACAAAAGTTTTCTTTTTTACCCTTCCAAATCAACTGTCCTAAGATAAGTTCCTGCATATTTCCCCCCTTAAGCGACTGATGTGTGCTTCTCAACAAGACGCCATGTTTTATACGATGTTATGCTTAGGGGGCGGCCATTTTGGTTTTTCTTGTTTTAAATTTGAACATCCGGTTGTTGTTTTCAAATTGCATGTGTGTGTTCAGGAACAAACTTTCTTTTTTTTTTTTTTTTTTTTTTTTTTTCCGGTTGTTGTTTTCAAATTGCATGTGTGTGTTCAGGAACAAACTTTCTTTTTTTTTTTTTTTTTTTTTTTTTAAATCGCACCCATCTGTGATAAGTTTGTAAAATAAATCTAAAATATAATCAAACGGCATTTGCACAATCTCCAACTATAAGAAACATCAACACATGTACATACAAACATATCAATTAAAAGTGTTGTTCAAAACTAGTTTTCTTTGAACTCATACAAATATCTCAGTTATGGACCTATTTGCGCTTAATGTCCCTATGTCCTTGCCATACCACAATATTTAGAACGCATTGCGAGGCGGGGCCCTCGAATATCTGTGACACGTAACCTTGTGTATTCTTATCTGTCACACGGGACCTTCATGTAGATCCACTTCTGTGACATTTGACATTCGTATATTCATGTCTGTGAAATGTGACCCTCTTATAGCCATACCTGTGACACGTTACCTTGGCGTACAGCTCCAGAGATGGCTCAGCACCGGAATATCTCAAGGAACTGATTTGTAAACATGTATATTTGAAGAGCCTGCGGTCTTCATCTCAGTACTTGCTGAGTGTTCCTAGTGTGGATAAACACAGAAAGAAGTCGTACGGAGTGCGCTCTGTTGAAGCGACAACGCCAAATTATGGAACAGTTTGCCTCAATCTTTCAGGGGAATTGTAAATGATAAAAAAATCATTTAAGAAAAATTAACAACTTTTTTGTTTAAATAGATTTCGGAGGACCAGAGCGCAGTGAGCATGCTAAAATGGCATGGATACCGGCGCGATATAAATATCAAATCAAAATAAAAGATTATATCCAAATCTTTGAAACTCGACCTTCGTGTATCCATATATATGGCGCGTGAATTTCGTATATATATTCATATGTCATAAGTGACATTGGTATAGCCATATCTGTGACACGTTATATTGTTCTATAAAAATCTGTGATACATGACCTTCGTATATCCATAAGTGTCGCATCTTTTCTATCGCTGCCTGATGTCCTATTTTTCAAGTTTAAATTAAAAAATTAATTTCAATCTTTTACCTTTTCTCTTTAGGGTCCTATTTAGAATGTATCAATGTAGATCAACAGATGTGTCGAGTGCTCACAAAAGTGGTCACATTACCTGTAACTGCTAAAAGCAGTGCTGACCTTGGCCTTCTTTTACCGTAAGAGAGGTTTTACGGTCCTTTTGGGAGATGAAAGAATAACACTGAAATAAAAACTGAAATAAACACTGAACTAAACACTGAAATAAACACTGAACTAAACACTGAAATAAACACTGAACTAAACACTGAAATAAACACTGAAATAAAAACTGAAATAAACACTGAACTAAACACTGAAATAAACACTGAACTAAACACTGAAATAAACACTGAACTAAACACTGAACTAAACAAAGAATCACAGGAAATAAAAACATTGAATTAAACACTGAGATACAGACACTGAAATAAACACTGAACACACAAAAGAACTCTTTTTACAATTAAGATTACGTTATCACATATAAATCTGTTTTGATTTTCCCGTAATTACGATAACCTTAGAGAGCACCTTCGTTTCCAACAAAGAGAGCTACTGACACAGAGTCTAGTTTTATTTAAATGTATAATTCTTTGTTGTTTCCTCTTTTGTCTTGTCTGCTGAAGGAGGCATCTGCCCGGCACTTTCTTTTAATTGTCCTGTCTTTTTATTACATGCCTAAACATATCACTTTCCAACTTTTTGCCGCGATAAACAACTGATGAGAGGAAATTGAACACAAAGGTAAACAGGTAGATCCACACATGAAATAAAGGTGGTAGATCCACACATGAAATGAAGGTGGTAGATCCACACATGAAATGAAGGTGGTAGATCCACACATGAAATGAAGGTGGTAGATCCACACATGAAATAAAGGTGGTAGATCCACACATTAAATGAAGGTGGTAGATCCACACATGAAATAAAGGTGGTAGATCCACACATGAAATGAAGGTGGTAGATCCACACAAGAAATAAAGATGGTAGATTTACATGGTAGATCTACACATGAAAAGAATGTTGTAGATCCACTCATGTAATAAAAGTGGTAGATTTACACATGTTACACATGAACAAAAGGTGGAAGATATAAACATAAAATAACTGTGGTATATGTACACATGAGATGAAGGGGATACATCTACAAAGGAGGCCAATTGACCTATACAAAGTGTTATATCATGAAATGCTACACTTCAGGAGATAGTATCATAAGATAATCGCTTTGGGACGTCATCTTATGCTTGTCTTCCAATCGAATTTAATAATTCTCCAAGATAGCATTTTTAATCTTATCACTAAACATCGATCTGCGCATGACTGGAACAACGCAGTGGTTGCTCAGACAGAACACGATGAGACACTGTAAATATAACAAGATAAGACACTATAGGAGACACTGTAAATATAACATGATTAGACACTGTAAATATATAACAAGATAAGACGCTGTAATTATAACAAGATGAGACACTGTAAATATAACAAGATGAGACACTAAAAATAAATTCGACACTCCAAATATAACACGACACATTTAAAGAAAACAATTTTTTTAGGGACAAAATAATTTTCATTTTAACCCAAATTAAATACTCTCAAACATGAAAGAGTTTATTTTGATATTTTCATTATATTAATTCATTGTTTCTGGTCTTTTTTCATGTTTTTATAACCTTTATGTACATTCTTTTTAAAAATTATTCATCAAATTTTCTTTTTTTAAAACTCGTTTCCATTACTTTTTAAGCAAAACATTATATGCTTTATATTTTATTTTGTAGATGTATTTCTGTTTCAAATCGTTGAACATTAAACTGTAACAGTAAATAGGAAGAATTCGTTGGAAGGCGATCAAATTGCGTTTCTTTGATGTTAGATTCGAACAACTAACACAGATTTCTTTTTTTTAATATTCCACTTCTGCAACAACTTTTCATTCGTCCCTATCTACAGATCTCTTGATGACAGCTTCCGGGTTCTGGAAAATAAAGTTAATTAACCCATTATTATTATTAAATATAAAAATTGTATACATTCTAAAGCATTATTTAAATATTAAAATGTGACCAGGACGAAAAAAATGCAGGACTTCTTGGTTGTAAAGTGTGACCCCTCCATGGTTAAAAACACTCTCTCAACAAAAACTCTGAGAAAATCAAGTTATTGTTGTCATGTCTTAAAAGTGTTGTCATAGTCCGAATGTTTACAGTCTAAGTTTTTATGTAACATGCTGATAATTAATAAGTACACAGTAATCAAACATAATTCTATTTAGGACCTTAAAGTTCTTGCCTTTATGTAAGTCTATAATGCTGTAGCGCAATAGGTCCGTTGTAGCACAAAAGGTCTGATTGTTAATGGATTGTTTAAACACTAAACAGTGTAGTCTCGGGAGTATAGGGCTGATGTGGTACATCGGGCTTTAGCGTAGCACTGTCGAATTGTTGAGCACAGCTACGACCCACAAGGGTAGGTATCCTCATCCAGGGGGTAGCAAAGACAGGATGCAAGGATCATTAATATCGTAGTCAACAAACATGCATAGTAGCCGTAGCTCAGACTGTGAGGCGGAAACAAATGGTGATATAGATGTCTATGTAGTAACAAATGGTGATATAGATGCCTATGTAGTAACAAAGGGTGATATAGATGCCTATGTAGTAACAAATGGTGATATAGATGTCTATGTAGTAACAAATGGTGATATAGATGCCTATGTAGTAACAAAGGGTGATATAGATGCCTATGTAGTAACAAATGGTGATATAGATGCCTATGTAGTAACAAATGGTGATATAGATGCCTATGTAGTAACAAATGGTGATGTAGATGCCTATGTAGTAACAAATGGTGATATAGATGTCTATGTAGTAACAAATGGTGATATAGATGTCTATGTAGTAACAAAGGGTGATATAGATGCCTATGTAGTAACAAATGGTGATATAGATGCCTATGTAGTAACAAATGGTGATATAGATGCCTATGTAGTAACAAATGGTGATATAGATGCCTATGTAGTAACAAATGGTGATATAGATGTCTATGTAGTAACAAATGGTGATATAGATGTCTATGTTATTACAAATGGTGATATAGATGTCTGTGTAGTAACAAATGGTGATATAGATGTCTATGTAGTAACAAATGGTGATATAGATGCCTATGTAGTAACAAATGGTGATATAGATGCCTATGTAGTAACAAATGGTGATATAGATGCCTATGTAGTAACAAATGGTGATATAGATGCCTATGTAGTAACAAATGGTGATATAGATGTCTATGTAGTAACAAATGGTGATATAGATGTCTATGTTATTACAAATGGTGATATAGATGTCTGTGTAGTATGTAGTAACAAATGGTGATATAGATGCCTATGTAGTAACAAATGGTGATATAGATGTCTATGTAGTAACAAATGGTGATATAGATGTCTATGTTATTACAAATGGTGATATAGATGTCTGTGTAGTAACAAATGGTGATATAGATGTCTATGTAGTAACAAATGGTGATATAGATGCCTATGTAGTAACAAATGGTGATATAGATGCCTATGTAGTAACAAATGGTGACATAGATGCCTATGTAGTAACAAATGGTGATATAGATGCCTATGTAGTAACAAATGGTGATATAGATGCCTATGTAGTAACAAATGGTGATGTAGATGCCTATGTAGTAACAAATGGTGATATAGATGTCTATGTAGTAACAAATGGTGATATAGATGTCTATGTAGTAACAAAGGGTGATATAGATGCCTATGTAGTAACAAATGGTGATATAGATGCCTATGTAGTAACAAATGGTGATATAGATGCCTATGTAGTAACAAATGGTGATATAGATGCCTATGTAGTAACAAATGGTGATATAGATGTCTATGTAGTAACAAATGGTGATATAGATGTCTATGTTATTACAAATGGTGATATAGATGTCTGTGTAGTAGCAAATGGTGATATAGATGTCTATGTAGTAATAAATGGTGATATAGATGTCTATGTAGTAACAAAGGGTGATATAGATGCCTATGTAGTAACAAATGGTGATATAGATGTCTATGTAGTAACAAAGGGTGCCTCTTTGACAACATTGAGGACAAAGAGGGGCTTTTCAGGAATACAGTGCTCCGCAAAATGTGCCTCTTTGGCAACATTGAGGACAAAGAGGGACTTTTCAGGAAGACAGAGCCCGGAAAAATGTGCTTCTTTGGCAACATAGAGGACATAGATATAATTTTCAGGAAGACAGTGCCCAGCAAAATTCGGCTCTTAAGCGACATAGTTGGGCTCTCTTTTACTAAACTAGTACGCAAATGACTCCCAAAATACTTTCTTAACAGCTATAATTAATAGAAATTGCGGTTGACAATAGAATGCCAATCTCTGCACTAAAGCTAAGTTCTATTGGGCGTCCCACGGATTTTAAACAAAATGATAGCCCCTCCCAACTCATCCTGTCAGTTTACCCTTCATTCTCCTCATCAATGCTCCTCAACTCTTAAACCTACCTACTACCACAACCTAACGGATCCCACTTAACTAGCATGACTTTTATAGGCCAGCCCACTCCTCCCCCCTTCTCATGTAGCCCAACACACATGTTCAACCTCCCGCCTCTAAAGATCACCTTCTTCCCCCCTTCTTATGTCACACCACCCCATGTTCAACCTCCCCATGATCACCCTCTTCGACCACTTCCCTCTTGGCGCCATTCGCTACCCCTCACCAACTCCTCTAATGTCTACCTCGGGTCAAGGACACTTACCTCGATTCTGTAAAGACTGTTTTCCCCGGGGTTCGGATCTTCCAGGGGTAAATGATTAGGATATAAATGAACGCACAGGCTGAAAATAAACAGGACATGACGTCACTGTCATTATCACTCGTCGACTGGTATTTATCATTTAGTAAGAGACTGTTCTCCATTTGACATGTATTCGAAATAATGATCACAAGATAACTAATTATTGATATATTATCATCATATAATAAAACACGTTTATGCGAGAAAAAGTAAAAAATATTTACAATATTCACCAGAACTAGCCGTCATATTAAGGCAGTTTAGCTCAGTGGCCGGCACACTCATTAGTCAAAAAAGACAAAAATCAGCAGCAGGACGATTTAAAAAAATTTTGATAGCCAAATTTCTTGTCAAGAACCCTGTTTTTCTGAGTCAAAACTGATTTTTTGCCGACTGCCCGAGCCGCACTCAGTTCGCTAAAGAGCCGCATGCGACTCGCGAGCCATGATTTGCCGATCACTACTGTAGGGCTGCCAAAGTTTATCTTGTTCTCACTCTGGAACTATCAAGCTTTATCTACGTTTCCCTACGTTAATCTTACGTCTATCATGTATCAGGTCTGCTTGATCCGCTCACCTGCTAGGAAGTAGGCAAATGAGAACAGTTTGGGCCACCGTAAGCAAGGAATGTACAAGGAAAGGAACTCTACAATCAGCAAGGTGTGCATCCCAACCCAAGTTGTCCATAGCGTCAGGTGAGCCAACACAATATACTCTGAGGAGAGAAACATCTTCTGTGAGCCAACATAATATGCTCTAAGGAGAGAAACATCTTCTGTGAGCCAACACAATATACTCTGAGGAGAGAAACATCTTCTGTGAGCCAACACAATATACTCTGAGGAGAGAAACATCTTCTGTGAGCCAACATAATATACTCTAAGATAAGAAACATCTTCTTTGAGCCAACACAATATACTCTAAGAAGAGAAACATCTTCTTTGAACCAACATAATGTACTCTGGGGAGAGAAACATCTTCTGTGAGCCAACATAATATACTCTGGGGAGAGAAACATCTTCTGTGAGCCAACATAATATACTCTAAGAAGAGAAACATCTTCTTTGAGCCAACACAATATACTCTAAGAAGAGAAACATCTTCTTTGAGCCAACACAATATACACTAAGAAGAGAAACATCTTCTTTGAGCTAACATAATATGTTCTAAGGAGAGAAACATCTTCTTTGAGCCAACATAATATGCTCTAAGGAGAGAAACATCTTCTTTGAGCCAACATAATATGCTCTAAGGAGAGAAACATCTTCTGTGACTAGTGAGCCAACACAATATATACACTAAGGATCGAAAAGCTTTTTTTTTTAGACAAAGCATAATAATTTAACGTCTAATTATAGAAACATGCATTTTGGGGGCAACACAATCTAGGAGCCCTCTATATAGTTCATATGCACGGGAGGGGGGGGAGTTAAAGCATAATAATTTAACGTCTAATTATAGAAACATGCATTTTGGGGGCAACACAATCTAGGAGCCCTCTATATAGTTCATATGCACGGGGGGGGGGGAGTCAGGTTGAGGGGTGTCATGGCAGAGGGTAGTTACATTTATTCAAAATTCCTACAATAATCATCACAAATCTCTGAAAGCATTGCAGGAATGATCGTCATAAAGTTGCCTTGTGGTTTAACAAATGAACTCGCTAGATGTCGCTTAACAGGTTCTCAGTAGTAGCAGTATTACAGTAATATTTCGTCCACCGTCGTATGTACAACGTGTGTGTGAGGTATACACCCCCTCCCCCCCCCCCAGGGCAACGTCCGTGGTTCCTAATTTTTTTTTTTAATTTCTAGCGCCCTTGCCAAATTTAGGTTTTCACGAGACACACTACAAACAATGGTTACTCAAATGAAATACTGTTTCCTCCAACACCGCTGGGTGTCACGATAAGTTCAAAGTGGCGTTACAATTATGAAAAGTGTGTCATGTTTCGTGGCGCCCCTGTAAGGAAGCTGAAGCCACCCGGGACTGGGGCATGCCGAGGAAATGTGGCACCTGGGGCGCAGCCAGGAAATGATGTCTTTTAATTTATGGGAAAAAGTGTCGTCGTCCCCTTTCTCAAGCATAGGAGTCCGATTGAGTAGCCCATGATGTTGGCTCCCAGTGTGACCGCCCTCTGAAACCCAATCTCATAGCTCGCCCTGAGGGCAACGTGGCACCCAGTGTGACGCGGTGCATGTTATAAGAACCACTGGGCTGGAAGAACAGTCGGCAGCGTAAACCCGTGACACGTGTTTTAAACAATTTTATATTATGTCATAATCATGTATAAATTATTATAAATTATTATAAATTATTTTATTTTATTTGTGGGTTTTGGGGGAGGGGGGGGGCGGGGTGAGTGTTCCAAAAGCTTTTTCTATGTACAATTGGCGGAGTATCCAAAAAAGTATGGATGCAAGAATGGTAGAAAAAGGGGGGGGGGGGTGAAAAAATCTATTTTTTTTGCCTACGTACTAAATGGTTGGCCACTTACTTTTAAACTTCAAGATACAAAAATGTCTCTTGTAAGCCCAAACCCATATACTCAAATATAGATTTAATTAGTTTTTTAGTCAACGATTATTTCTGTTTTCCTAAGCCTACACCAAAATTCTAAGGATACACAATCGTTGCGGTCCAATGTTAATGAATGGCTGCATTGTAATCTAATTCTTTGATATCAAGTTTTTGTCTTATTTATCTTTGTTTCTATCTTATTTACTCAGTTAAGCGCCAATATTGTTATATCTTATTTACACGGGTAAATGCCAATATTGTTAGATTATATGTTATTTACACAGGTAAATGCCAATATTGTTAGATTCTATCTTATTCACTTAGATAAGAGTCAAAATTGTGAAAAACTCTTACAAATAATTTCAGAAATTTGATTGCCTTACCAGTTTTAGCATCAATTTTTTGACATTTTTTGTTCTTGCATATTAAGAAAATTCCCTCGTAATGTTCCATTTTACCTTGGACCTGATGGAAGAATGTTTGAACAAACATGGTATTGGTGTTTGATATAATACACAAACATGAGATTAGTGCTTAAAATGATATAAAAACATGACATTGAAGCGTAAAAGTATACACAAACATGGCATTGGAGCTTAAAACCATTTGCTAACATGATATTTGTGCTGGAAATAAAAATAAACATTGTACGGTGCTGAAAGTTTAACAAGAACATGACGTCAGAGGCCAAAATGATGTGTCCATACTACATACTAAGTTTGCTTACATAAACATCGTAGTTTGCTTACACATACATACACATTTTTCTTACATATGATACGTGAATCCAGAAAGGGTTAAGAACGCTGGCCCACATCCCGGCCATCAGGAAAATGATGACCAGGAAAGTGCAAAAGTTTATGAAACAACCCATCCAGCTAGCCTGGTACCAGCTCAAATCTCAACTAAATATCTGGAGCTTGGAACCCATGGCTCACTGTATACTGTGGGATGGACACAAGAAAGTGAAACAGTTTATGATAAAACCCATGAAGCTGGCCTAGTAATACAACCCATCAAACTGTCCTGGTATAACAATCCAATCAAACTGTCCTGGTACTACAACCCACCAAACTGTCCTGGTGCTGCAACCCATCAAACTGTCCTGGTACTACAACCCATGAAACTGTCCTGGTACTATAACCCATCAAACTGTCCTGGTACTACAACCCATGAAACTGTCCTGGTACTATAACCCATCCAACTGTCCTGGTACCTCAACCCATCAATCTGTCCTGGTACTACAACCCATCCAACTGTCCTGGTACTACAACCCATCAAACTGTCCTGTACTACAACCCATCAAACTGTCCTGTTACTACAAACCATCAAACTGTCCTGTACTACAACCCATCAAACTGTCCTGGTACTACAACCCATCAAACTGTTCTGGTACTAAAACCCATCAAACTGTCCTGTACTACAACCCATCAAACTGTCCTGGTACTTAAACCCATCAAACTGTCCTGGTACTACAACCCATCCAACTGTCCCGGTACTACAACCCACCAAACTGTCCTGGTACTACAACCCACCAAACTAAACTGTCCTATACTACAACTCATTAAACTGTCCTGTACTACAACCCATCCAACTGTCCTGTACTACAACCCATCCAACTGTCCTGTACTACAACCCATCCAACTGTCTTGGTACTACAACCCATCCAACTGTCCTGTACTACAACCCATCAAACTGTCCTGTACTACAACCCATCAAACTGTCCTGGTACTTAAACCCATCAAACTGTCCTGGTACTACAACCCATCCAACTGTCCCGGTACTACAACCCACCAAACTGTCCTGGTACTACAACCCACCAAACTAAACTGTCCTATACTACAACTCATTAAACTGTCCTGTACTACAACCCATCCAACTGTCTTGGTACTACAACCCATCCAACTGTCCTGTACTACAACCCATCCAACTGTCCTAGTACTACAACCCATCCAACTGTCATGTACTACAACCCATCCAACTGTCCTGTACTACAACCCATCCAACTGTCCTGTACTACAACTCATTAAACTGTCCTGTACTACAACCCATCAAACTGTTCTGTACTACAACCCATCAAACTGTCCTGTACTACAACCCATCAAACTGTCCTGTACAACAACCCATCAAACTGTCCTGTACTACAACCCATCAAACTGTCCTGGTACTATAACCCATCAAACTGTCCTGGTACTACAACCCATCAATCTGTCCTGTACTACAACCCATCCAACTGTCTTGTACTACAACCCATCAAACTGTCCTGGTACTACAAACCATCAAACTGTCATGTACTACAACCCATCAAAATGTCCTGGTACTACAAACCATCAAACTGTCCTGTACTACAACCCATCCAACTGTCCTGTACTACAACCCATCCAACTGTCCTGTACTACAACCCATCCAACTGTCCTGTACTACAACCCATCCAACTGTCTTGGTACTACAACCCATCCAACTGTCCTGTACTACAACCCATCAAACTGTCCTGGTACTACAACCCATCAAAGTGTCCTGGTACTACAACCTATCAACCAGTCCTGGTACCAGCTCAAATCTCAACTAAAAATCTGGAGCTTTGGAACCCTTGGCTTACTGTAGACTGTGCGATGGTCACAGGAAGACCTTGTCATTTTATGTTTGACCATGTTCATTATCAGCTGATACAAAAATAACTTTTACTAAACTGCCAGTCAAACGCAGACAGTAGTATTTTGAAACCTCTTGAGCACCTGGCGGGAGCCCTCTATACATTGGAAAACACGCCCTAAAGAGAATCTCGCCCTGTGTAGCGGTCTCAGGTTTATAAATCCTCTTTTTAACATCCATGAACTGACCGTAAATCATGTTTTGAATCCCGAGTCACAAGATGGCGGGTAAAAGGTTTTACTTTTACGTTGTTTAACATTTTAAGAGAATTGATGATATCAATGAAGGAACGCGTTCCTTCATACCCACATAATGAGTTGCTTTGGTGATTTTAAGGTTTATGCAATCAGTGATTCAATCATGTGGGGAAAGTGTCGGGAGGGGTTCAACCCCCCCCCCCTACCCACCTTTTTTTCTTTTTTTTATCAAATACAGTTAACCCTTAATTTTAAAGAGCCGCTAATTGACTGCTAACGGGGACTGCGTTCCTGTTAGGGAATAGGTACAGAAACGCTAATCCCCTGTTCTCCTGGAGGCTGCGGGACGGGCAAACTCTGTTAACGATAATGAATGTTCAACTGATGTACATCTAGAGGTCACCAAGATTTCAGACGTACACCCGCGACAAAGCCATCTGGTTAAACAAACAGCTAACTGACGTGACATGGTTGAAAGAAGTCATTTCGTATTAGCTTCCATCTGTCGTTCATTAGATCTCTGGTGAATTAATCACCATGTTGTTATTGTCTGGCACGTCACGCATATAAGTGCGTACACAAAAGCACGGTATGCACCGTCAAGAAAATGATCAGAGATAATAATAGTATTTTTTTAAAAGTCAAGGTGCGCATTTTTTAACACAGTAAATGGTTACCTCTGTGTAAAGACTTTGATTCGGTCAGCACCACTGGACATATTCAGACAGTACTCTAAGACTTGGATCTTGTAAACACCAATGGTGTCTTCAGGCATGACTATATGACTTAGTTTTGCTAGATACCACTGGTGTCTTCAGGCATGACTATATGACTTAGTTTTGCTAGATACCACTGGTGTCTTCAGGCATGACTATATGACTTAGTTTTGCTAGATACCACTGGTGTCTTCAGGCATCACTCTAAGGCGTGGATTTGGTAAACACCACTGTGTCTTCAGCCATGACACAAAACTTGGATTTCGTATTCGCCACTGGAAGTCTGCAGACATGACAGTCTTGAGCCATGACTCAAAGACTAGGATTTCGTATTCAACACTGGAAGTCTGCAGGCATGACTCTAAGACTTGGATTTCTATTCACCACTGGAAGTCTTGAGCCATGACTCTAAGACTTGGATTTCGTATTCACCACTGGAAGTCTTGAGCCATGACTCTGAGACTTGTATTTCTTATTCGCCACTGGAAGTTTTGAGCCATGACTCTAAGACTTTGATTTCTTATTCGCAACTGGAAGTCTTGAGCCATGAATCTAAGAATTGGATTTCGTATTCACCAATGAAAGTCTTGAGCAATGACTCAAAGACTTGGATTTCGTATTCGCCTCTTGAAGTCTTGAGCCATGAATCTAAGAATTGGATTTCGTATTCACCAATGTAAGTCTTGAGCAATGACTCAAAGACTTTGATTTCTTATTCGCCACTGGAAGTCTTGAGCCATGAATCTAAGAATTGGATTTCGTATTCACCAATGTAAGTCTTGAGCAATGACTCAAAGACTTGGATTTCGTATTCGCCTCTTGAAGTCTTGAGCCATGAATCTAAAACTTGGATTTCGTATTCGCCACTGTAAGTCTTGACCAATGACTCTAAGATTTGGATTTCGTATTCACCACTGGAAGTCTTAAGCCATGACTCTAAAACTTTGATTTCGTATTTACCACTGGAAGTCTTGAGCCATGACTCTAAGACTTGGTTTTCTTCAAGATACAAGAATAACCAGATGGTGGGACGATCTGCTGAGAGTTGGCATTTTAGCTTGGTTTAAATCGCTCCCACATGATTTTGACATACGATGTTCATGGGTAACGGTACGTTAGTTAACTTAACCATTTTAGCACGTCATTTCCCAGGTGGCTCTTATCTTTAAGAGCGAGGCCAAATATCTTCACACACGTTTCAGAAACCTCCAAAATGATCATCTCAGTTTTATTTTCATAAATGTTTGACAGGTAAACGTAAGGCATAGAAGATGGATAATGATATTTCACCTTTCGGGCTCAATTTTGGCTAACTGACTCTATGAATGACTACATGAATGACTCTATGAATGACTCTATGAATGACTACATGAATGAATCCATGAATAACGACATGAGTGACTCAATGAACTACTCAATGATTTACGTCATGAAGGACTACATGAATGACTCCGTGAATCACCTCCATAAATGACTTCTATAAATGACTCTTTAAATGACTAAATAAATAACTTCCATGAATGTCAATATGAACGCCTTCATGAATGACTTCCATGAAGGTCTTACATGAATGACTTCACATTTGTCACAACTGATACATAAAACACATCTTCTCCTGTCAATCCTTTCATTCCACTTTTCGGGCCATTGAAGAGAACGTCAGCTAAATTTACCTGAAGCCATTGGTGATGTTAGATGCTCGGGTACGACTTGTCATCAATGGACAGACATTGTCCAGCAGTCGCTCCCAACAGGACGGTGCCGACACACATGGCGTAGTAGCCATAGCCTAGACTGTGGACATCAAGGTAACACATGGTGTAGTAGCCATAGCCTAGACCATCGTTACCCAAACGGTGGTCCGTGGACCGGCACTGGTCCACAAGCCTTACGTTACCGGTCCAGAGAGCATGAATATTAATTTTTAAATATAAAGAAATGTAATCAATAAATCGGTCACCGGTCCATGGTGCAGTTTCAAAACTGTTCAACCGGTCCGTGAAACTTAAAACTTTGATAAAGCCTGGCCTAGACTATAGACATCAAGGTAACACATGGCGTAGTAGCCATTGCCTAGACTATAGACATCAAGGTAACACGTGGCGTAGTAGCCATTGCCTAGACTATAGACATCAAGGTAACACATGGCGTAGTAGCCATTGCCTAGACTATAGACATCAAGGTAACACATTGCGTAGTAGCCATAGCCTTGACTAGGGGCATCAAGGTAAGACATGGCGTAGTAGCCATAGCCTTGACTATAGACATCAAGGTAAAACATGGAGTATTCAAATGCTTAATCACTACCCAATTTCTCTAAGTCATACATACAAATTTTTCATCTAACATTTCTAAATCATGCATACACAATTTATTTTTACCTAACTTCTCTGAAGCCAGTTTTTTCCGGTACTGTTATCAATGTCGGGTACACAGCCAGGATAACTAGACCCGCGACCGCTGAAAACAATCAACTACATTTATCGCATGTTTTATATTTTTCAACTGGGTGAAATTTAATGATATTGATGACATTGGATGACACCAATGACACAAGAGCAATGAATTATCAAACATCCCGGGGTTGTAAGGTGGTGAGATTACAAATAGCCCTGGGTTGGAAGGTATCAGACTACAAATAGCCCTGGGTTGGAAGGTATCAGACAAGAAATAGCCTTGGGTTGGAAGATGTCAGACTACAAAAAGTGCAGGGTTGGAAGGTATTAGACTACAAATAGTACTGGGTTGGAAGGTATCAGAGAAGAAATAGCCTTGGGTTGGAAGATATCAGACTACAAAAAGTGCAGGGTTGGAAGGTATTAGACTACAAATAGTCCTGGGTTGGAAGGTATCAGACAAGAAATAGCCTTGGGTTGGAAGATATCAGACTACAAATAGTCCTGGGTTGGAGGCTGTCAGACTACAAATAGCCTGGGTTGGAAGATATCAGACTACAAATAGTCTTGGGTTGGAAAGTATCTGACAAGAAATAGCCCTGTGTTATAAGGTATCCGATGGGAAATAGCATTGGGTTGGAAGGTATCAAACTACAAATAGTCTTGGGTTGGAAGGTCTCAGACTACAAATAGCCCTGGGTGGGAAGGTGTCAGACTACAAATAGCACTGGTTTGGAAGGTGGTCAGACTTCCAATAGCCCTGGGTTGCAAGGTGTCAGAATACAAATAACCCTGGTATAGTGTCACCTATTTTAGTGAATAAAACGTATCACTACATAGTGTATAGTATGCATATCACCTATTAGTGCGTACTATTAACATCATCTATTATTGTGGACAATACGTTTCACCTAATAGTGCGTAATATAATAAGACTTATCAGCGTGTACTGTACATATCACCTAACAGTGTGTACTATACATAACCTACTACTGCGTATTATATTTATCACCTATTGTGACTTACCTTCAAGAATGTAGACCAGTGCGAAGATCCTATTCTGACGCAGCAGTGTGATACACAGAGACAACAACTGAACCAATGTCATGGTGTTTAAAGAGAAGGCGAGCGCCCAGAAGAGAAACGTGGCAAACTTTCTGGCATCTTGGGGGAAATAAGAAAGAAAAGCCACTGTCTTTATGAAGAGTCAAAATGTTTAGTGTTAGTCTTCATTTGGCGAGGCAGGGCTCTTCCCAGCCTCAACCTAACCGACCAATGACCCAACTGAGGGTCAAGGCCTGGATTAAGGACCTCTTCCATGAGGAATGGATTAAAGAATGGGAACAGGGTACCACTGCCTGAAAACTTTACCGGAGCATGCAAAAATCAAACCTCAAGGGCGAACTATGGTGGAGTCTCAAACGCCACCAGCAGAGTATCATCACCCAGATGAGAACAGAGCATTGTCCTACCAGGAGCCACCTAAAGGGTTGCTCCCACTGCAGGACCCGAGCTGCCGCCATTATGGACAGGCGCCGCAGACAGTAGGGCGCCTTCTCGCCGAGTGCTGGACATTAGCGACTGGCGTGACTGGGGTGCTCCAAGTCAACCACGACGAAAGCCTGTTTTACGGGACTGCCCAGCAGATGAGCCACGCCTGTTCCATACTTCCCGGGGCCTCTAAAGAGCAATATCTCGGTCCCTTACAGTTAATGTAATATTTCAGTGATAGTTTTCCCCCTTTGGGATCCGGTCGACAAGTCTGTGGTGGCCTGCCGATTAGTATGCGCCGGCCACCGATACCCTCGGCGTTACCCGGGGAACAAGACCACTGCTGCGCGTCCTGCGTGGTCAGACAAGAGACGTGCACGGTACCAGCCGTACATAAAACAGCGCCTACAAAGCTGCCCACAATTGGAAGTAAAGGCAGAGACAGGGTAGAGATCATGAATACAGGTAGCCGTTAAAGGATATGAGGCTAGAGGTGAAGGTGGTAACTGCTAGACGATGATTCTTACTATGCAGCCTTGAGAAAATGTTTCAAGCAACCGTTTCGTCCCAGCTACTTGGCAAACTAGTTGCGGCGTGGAAACCCACTGTATAAACCCTCTTAAAGGGCATCTCATGCTTCCCTGGAATGGGTGGGGGAAGATATTAGGACGTGAATTTTACCATCCTGACTCCTAAGAATGTCGATCGTCTGCACTGTGTGGAAACAAAGTGTCGGACAGACCGGGTATCTTTGGGCTAGGACGGTCCTCAGAGGAACCCGATCGAGTGGACTCGGGTGGGGGCTGTCCTGACAAAGGGACATCTCCAACGTTCCCCTTCGTGTTTCCGATACCGGGCTTAGGGGGGGGGGTGCTTTGGGGAGGGCATAAAAAGCATTAGTTCAACGGCCCGCGGACGCCATTTCTTAATGTGACATTTCAGTTTTAGTTTTAAATGTTAGGGTGACATTACTGCGTACTTGTGTAAATAATAGACCGTCATTACCGCCGTACTTGTGTAAATGTTAGAACGTCATTACTGCCGTACTTGTGTAAATGTTAGAACGTCATTACTGCCTTACATGTTTAAATATTTAGTCATCCTTGCTGCTATAATTTTCTAAATGTTAGGTCATCATAACTGCTATTATTATCTAAATATTAGTTTCGTCATTACTGCCATGCTTGTCTAAATATTAAGTCGTCATTACTGCCATGCTTGTCTTAATATTAAGTCGTCGTTACTGCCATGCTTGTCTAAATATTATGGCGTCATTACTGCCATACTTGTCTAAATATTAAGTCGTCATTACTGCCATGCTTGTCTAAATATTAAGCCGTCATTACTGCCATACTTGTCTAAATATTAAGTCATCATTACTGCCATGCTTGTCTAAATATTATGGTATCATTACTACCATGCATGTCTAAATATTAAATCGTAATTATTGCCATACTTGTCTAAATATTAAGTCGTCATTACTGGCATACTTTTCTAAATAATAAGTTGTCATTACTGCCATACTTGTCTAAATATTATGGCGTCATTACTGCCATACTTGTCTAAATATTAAGTCGTCATTACTGCCATACTTGTCTAAATATTAAGTGGTCATTACTGCCATACTTGTCTAAATATTATGGCGTCATTACTACCATATTTGTCTAAATATTATGGCATCATTACTGCCATACTTGTCTAAATATTTAGGCTTCATTACATCCATAATTGTCTCAATATTAAGTCGTCATTACATCCATACGTGTCTAAATATTATGGCGTCATTACTGCCATACTTGTCTAAATTTAATGGCGTCATTACATCCATACTTGTCAATAATACAATTGTTGGGGATTATCAACATTTTTTGTGTTGTTTTAACAACCAACACATATTGACAATTAATACATATTGACAACTAACACACATTGACAACTAACACACATTGACAACTAACACACATTAACAACCAACACATTTACAACTAACACACATTGACAACTGACACACATTGACAATTAACACACATTGACAACTAACACACATTGACAACTCACATACATTGACAACTAACACACATTGACAACTAACACAAATTGATAACTAACACACATAGACAACTAACACACATTGACAACTAACACAAATTGATAACTAACACACATTGACAACTAACACACATTGACAACTAACACACATTGACAAATAACACACATTGACAACTAACACAATTGATACTAACACACATTATCAACTAACACATTGACAACTAACATACATTGACAACTAACACACATTGACAACTCACATACATAGACAACTAACACACATTGACAACCAACACACATTGACAACTAACAAACATTGACAACTAACACAAATTGATAACTAACACGCATTGACAACTCACACACATTGAAAACTAACACCGAAAATTTGACAACTAACACATATTGACAACTAACACACATTGACACTTAACACAAATTGACAACTAACAAACATTGACAACTAACACAAATTGACAACTAACATACATTGACAACTAAAACACATTTACAACTCACACACATTGATAACAAACACACATTGACAACTAACACAAATTGACAACTCATAATAATTGACAACTAACGCATATTGACAACTCACACACATTGACAACTGACCCTAAATAACAACTCACACACAGTGACAACTCACACACATTGACAACAAACACAAATTGATAATTAACACACATTGACAACTAACACACATTGACAACTAACACACATTGACAACCAACACAGATTACAAATAACACACATTGAAAACTAACACGAATTGATAACTAACGCACATTGACAACTAACACACATTGACAACTAACACGAATTGATAACTAACGCACATTGACAACTAACACACATTGACAACTAACTAACATTGACAACTCACACACATTGATAACTAACACACACTGACAACTCGCACCCATTGACAACTAGACATATTGACAACTAACACAAATTGATAACTAACACACATTGACAACTAACACACATTGACAACTAACACACATTGACAACTAACACACATTGACAACTAACACACATTGACAACTCACACACATTGACAACTCACACACATTGACAACTAAAACACATTGACAACTCACACACATTGACAAATAACACAAATTGACAGCTCACACACATTGACAACTAACACACATTGACAACTCACGCACATTGACAACTTTCACAAATTGACAACTATCACACAGTGACAGCTAACACACATTTACAACTAACACAAATTGATAACTAACACACATTGAAAACTAACACCCAAAATTTTACAACACTAATTGACAACTAACACACATTGACAACTAACACGAATTGACAACTAACACACTTGACAACTCCCACACATTGAAAACTAAAACCCAAAATTTGACAAATAAAACATATTGGCAACTAACACACATTGACAACTAACACAAATTGACAACAAACAAACATTGACAACTAACACAAATTGACAACTAACACACATTGACAACTAACACAAATTTAAAACTCATAAAAATTAACAACTAAGGCATATTGACAACTCACTTATATTGACACCTGACCCTAATTGACAACTCACACACAATGACAACTAACACACATAGACAACTAACACAAATTGATAACTAACACACATTGACAACTAATACACATTGACAACTAACACACATTGACAAATAACACACATTGACAACTAACACACATTGACAACTAACACACATTGACGACTAAAACACATTGACAACTAACACAAATTGATAACTAACGCACATTGACAACTAACACACATTGACAACTAACACACATTGACAACTAACACACATTGACAACTCACACACATTGATAACTAACACACATTGACAAGTCACACCCATTGACAACTAGACACATTGACAACTAACATACATTGACAACTAACATAATTGACAACTAACAGACATTGACAACTAACACACATTGACAACTAACACAAATTGACAACTAACACACATTGACAACTCACACACATTGACAACTCACACACATTGATAACTAACACACATTGACAACTAACACGAATTGACAAATAATACACTTGACAACTCCCACACATTGAAAACTAAAACCCAAAATTTGACAAATAAAACATATTGGCAACTAACACACATTGACAACTAACACAAATTGACAACTAACAAACATTGACAACTAACACAAATTGACAACTAACACACATTGACAACTAACACAAATGTACAAATCATAAAAATTGACAACTAACGCATATTGACAACTCACTTACATTGACACATGACCCTAATTGACAACTCACACACAGTGAAAACTTACACAAATTGACAACTCACACAAATTGACAACCAACGTACATTGACAACTCACACACATTGACAACTGACTCAAATCGACAACTCACACACATTGACAACTAACACAAATTGACAACTAACACACATTGACAACTAACACACATTGACAACTCAAACAAATTGACAACTAACACACATTGACAACTAATACACATTGACAACTAACACACATTGATAACTCACACACATTGACAACTAACACACATTGACAACTCACGCACATTGAAAACTTACACAAATTGACAACTGTCACACAGTGACAACTAACACACATTGACAACTAACACAAATTGATAACTAACACACATTGACAACTAACACAAATTGATAATTAACACACATTGAAAACTAACACCCAAAATTTTACAACACTAATTGACAACTAACACACATTGACAACTAACACAAATTGACAACTAACAAACATTGACAACTAACACAAATTGACAACTAACACACATTGACAACTAACATACATTTACAACTCACACACATTGATAACTAACACACATTGACAACTCACAAACATTAACAACTAACTTATATTGACAACTTAAACACATTGACAGCTAACACACATTGACAACTAAGACACATTGACAAATGATACTCATTGACAACTGACACACATTGACAACTAATAAAAATTGACAACTAACACACATTGACAACTAACACATATTGACAACTAACACACATTGACAACTAAGACACATTGACAACTAACACACATTGACAACTATACTGATTGACAACTGACATACATTGACAACTAACACATAAATACAGCACACACATTAACGCCCAACTCATACTGTCACCTCACATTTATATTAAACATATATACACCTACACGCATGTAATTATTCATCTTATACACGCTTGCAATGATTCAACTTATACACGCATATAAGGATCATTTTAAACACAAATGTAATGATTAAACTTATACATGCGTGTAATGTCTCAATTTAAATACGCATGTAATGATTCACTTTATTCCATACATGCATGTAATGATTCAACTTACACACGCATGTAATGATTCAACTTACACACGCATGTAATGATTCAACTTACACACGCATGTAATGATTCAACTTACACACGCATGTAATGATTCAACTTACACATGCATGTAATGATTCAACTTACACCCGCACGTAATGATTCAACTTACACACGCATGTAATGATTCAACTTACACACGCATGTTATGATTCAACTTACACACGCATGTAATGATTCAACGTACACACGCATGTAATGATTCAACTTACACACGCATGCAATGATTCAACTTACACACCCATGTAATGATTCAACTTACACACGCATGTAATGATTCAACTTACACACGCATGTAATGATTCACCTTACACAAGTTTGTAATTATTCAACTTACACACGCACGTAATGATTCAACTTACAGACCCACGTAATGATTCAACTTACACACGCATGTAATGATTCAACTTACACACGCACGTAATGATTCAACTTACTCATGCACGTAATGATTCAACTTACACACGCACGTAATGATTCAACTTACACACGCATGTAATGATTCAACTTACACACGCATGTTATGATTCAACTTACACACGCATGTAATGATTCAACGTACACACGCATGTAATGATTCAATTAACACACGCATGCAATGATTCAACTTACACACCCATGTAATGATTCAACTTACACACGCATGTGATGATTCAACTTACACACGTATGTAATGATTCAACTTACACACGCATGTAATGATTCAACTTACACACGCATGTAATGATTCAACTTACACACGCATGTAATGATTCAACTTACACACGCATGTAATGATTCAACTTACACACGTATGTAATGATTCAACTTACACACGCATGTAATGATTCAACTTACACAAGCATGTAATGATTCAAATTACACACGCTTGTAATGATTCAACTTACACACGCATGTAATGATTCAACTTACACAAGCATGTAATGATTCAACTTACACATGCATGCAATGATTCAACTTACACACGCATGCAATGATTCAACTTACACACGGATGTAATGATCCAACTTACACACGCATGTAATGATTCAACTTACACACGCATGTAATGATTCAACTTACACACCCATGTAATGATTCAACTTACGCACGCACGTAATGATTCAACTTACACACGCATGTAATGATTCAACTTACACACGCATGTAATGATTCAACTTACACACGCATGTAATGATTCAACTTACTTTTCTCCTCACTAACATTAACACAATCGCCAAACTTGGGACATCTGAAAAAGAGTCCCTCGTGTTCGATGTACTTGTCCACCTGTCAATCAAATGTGATTTGGTTGGATCAATGATTCTAAAACTGTGTGATAGCACCCACAGTGCTTTATGTGGGAGGTGGAGAAAGTCTCTTAAATAGATAGGGTTTAGGGAGGTCAGAAAAGTTTGTTTTTTTCTGTTTTTTTTTTATTTTAGCGAAAATTTGAATATAAACAAATTGTTAGGACTTGTGAAGATTCGAATAACATCGTTAGTTAGTTGTCTCAGACACATATTTTTTAGTTATCTCAGACACACGTAGAGTTAGTTGTATCAGACTCACGAAGAGTTAGTTGTCTCAGACACACGTAGAGTTATTTGTCTCAGACACATGTAGAGTTAGTTTTATCAGACACAGGAAGAGTTAGTTGTCTCGGACACACGTACAGTTATTTGTCTTAGACACACGCGGAGAAAAAAAATGTTGATCTAACTTACTAGCAAGAGTACCAGCAGCCATTGGTCATAATACTCGTACACTTGGCTATAAAATATTTCTACTTAGTAATAATGAAGCTACTCTTACCAAGACCTTGTAAACGGACAACATTTATAGTCTTGAGCCGAAGACTCTCGTGATCGTTTTGTCATTCTTCTTTTTAAAAATCATGATCGCATGTCAGTACTAGTACTAACATTGGTACTTTCAGCACTAGTACTAACATTGGTACTTACATCACAAGTACTAAACACTAGTACTTACAAATCTAGAACTAATCAATGGTACTTGCAAGTATCAGCGATGAGCACTAGCACTGAAGACTAGCACTTAGAAGCCTGTTATCAGCACTAGTACTAAAGTTTGGCACTTACAAACCTAATCTCAATCCTTGTACTCAAAACATATATTAACAAGCATGTTATATCACTAGCACTCACTTACTTACAAGCCTAGCACTTAAGTACTTACAAGCCTAGCACTAATGTACTTACACGCCTAGCACTAAAGTACTTACAAGTGTAAGACTAAAGTACTTACCAGCTTGGTATCCGCCCAGTTTGCACTTATAGCGGCGTAGCTGATGACCAGAAGAGTCAGAACAATTAGGATGACAGACACCACCCCTTGACAGCCCGCCATGGTCCTTGCCCTATGTAACTTAGTCCTTGCCCTATGTAACTTGGTCCTTGCCCTATGGAACTTAGTCCTTGCCCTATGTAACTTAGTCCTTGCCCTATGTAACTTGGTCCTTGCCCTATGGAACTTAGTCCTTGCCCTATGTAACTTGGTCCTTGCCCTATGGAACTTGGTCCTTGCCCTATGGAACTTAGTCCTTGCCCTATGGAACTTGGTCCTGCCCTATGGAACTTGGTCCTTGCCCTATGAAACTTGGTCCTTGCCCTATGTAACTTAGTCCTTGCCCTATGGAACTTGGTCCTTGCCCTATGTAACTTAGTCCTTGCCCTATGTAACTTGGTCCTTGCCCTATGTAACTTGGTCCTTGCCCTATGTAACTTAGTCCTTGCCCTATGTAACGTGGTCCTTGCCCTATGTAACTTGGTCCTGGCTCTATGCAACTTGGTCCTTGCCCTATTAACTTGGTCCTTGCCCTATGTAACTTGGTCGTTTACTGCTATGAAAAGATGGGTGAAAAGGGACGTCTTCCACTGTGTGAAGGAGTGGTTGAATTAGGGCATAATCATCTGCTATAAAGAGAGTGTAGATATGGGACTTATTTTCTCCGTCTTGAACGAATGGATGAATCAGGAATTGTTCATCTGCTGGGGGGGGGGGGGGGGGGGGGGGGGGAGAGAGAAGATAATTATTAACACATCTTTTAAGTATTTTCAAATATAAAATCCTAGGTTTGTGACTAAGATGTATTTTTTTGAAATCTAAGATGACTTTGTTGAACTAATATGCTGCTCTTGGAATTAAGATGAAGTTTTTTGGTGCTGGTTTATTTTCCTTGCTTCATCTTGAAAGCTTCATTAAGTATTTCTCCACTCCATAGAATGTTTTGTTCATAATACGTGCATCGTTACACTTGTGTCTTCTTACACAGACCGCGACAAGATACACATGCTTCCAAATTTTGCGCAAATCATTCTTCAAAGATCTTTTATCAGGATAACCAGTTAGGAAGTACTGAGACCAACCAATCCATTATAGGATCTCAAATTGCTCACTGATCAAACGCTTTTAACTCCTCACAATATGTGACCCATCACAATATGTGACCCAACACAATATGCGACCCATCACAATATGTGACCCATCACAATATGTGAACCATCACAATATGCAACCCATTACAAAATGCAAAATCCATCACAATATGCGATCGTGAACAAAATGTGAACCATCACAATATGCGACCCATCACAATATGCGACCCATAACAATATGCGTCCCATCACAATATGTGATCTATCACGATATGTGATCACAACAAAATGTGAACCATCACAATATGCGACCCATCACAATATGTGACTAACCAAAACATGTGACCCATCACAATATGCGATCCATCACAATATGCAACCCATAACATTATGAGATCCATCACAATATGCAACCCATAACAATATGAGATCCATCACAATATGCGATCCACAACAAAATGTGACCCATCACAATATGCGACCCATCACAATATGTGACCCATCACAATATGTGACCCATCACAATATGCGACCCATCAAAATATGCGACACATCACAATAGGCGAACAATCACAATAGGTGACCCATCACAATAGGTGACCCATCACAATAGGTGACCCATCACAATATGTGAACCATCACAATATGCGACGCATCACAATAGGCGACCCATCAAAATATGTAACAGATCACAATAGGTGAACCATCACAATGTGTGACCCATCACAATATGCGATCCATCAAAATATGCGATCCATCCAAATAAGCGACCCATCACAATAGGTGACCCATCACAATATGCTACCCATCACAATATGCGACCCATCACAATAGGCGACCCATCAAAATATGTGACCCATCACAATAGGTGACCCATCACAATATGCTACCCATGACAATATGTGAACCATAACAATATGCGACCTATCACAATATGCGACCTTAACAATATGCGATGCATCAAAATATGCGATCCATCCAAATAAGCGACCCATCACAATACGTGACCCATAACAATATGCAACCCATCACAATATGTGACCCACAAAAAAATGTGACCGTTCACAATATGTGACCCATCACAATATGCAACCCATTACAAAATGCAATCCATCACAATATGCGATCGTCAACAAAATGTGAACCATCACAATATGCGACCCATCACAATATGCGACCCATAACAATATGCGTCCCATCACAATATGTCACCCACAACAAAATGTGACCCATCACAATATGTGACCCATCACGATATGTGATCACAACAAAATGTGAACCATCACAATATGCAACCCATCACAATATGTGACTAACCACAACATGTGACCCATCACAATATGCGATCCATCACAATATGCAACCCATAACATTATGAGATCCATCACAATATGCAACCCATAACAATATGAGATCCATCACAATATGCGATCCACAACAAAATGTGAACCATCACAATATGAGATCCATCACAATATGCGATCCACAACAAAATGTGAACCATCACAAAATGCCCTTTTTGGGTACGTTGAATGGTCCTTTTAACATTGGCACTTTAACATCGACTCCTTTTAATATTAACACCTTTTTACATCAACACTTTTTTTACATTGACACCTATTTTACGTTGACAACTTTATACATTGACAAATTTTTAAATTGACACCTTTTTGAAATTGACATCTTTTTAAAATTGACACATTATGAAATTAACAGCTTTTTGAAATGGACAATTTTAGCATTGCCTAATTTTATAACTAACTTGAACCCTGTCATGATTCAACCATTGTATTCTGTCAACAGTGATTTTTGCTAGAACCTTAAAATTTACCTGATGGATGTCATTATTTAGACCTTATATATTTAATCTGATGGATTTCATTATTTACACCTTATATATTTAATCTGATGGATTTCATTATTTAGACGTTATATTTTATCTGATGGATTTCATTATTTAGACCTTATATTTTATCTGATGGATTTCATTATTTAGACCTTATATTTTTTCTCATGGATTTCATTATTTAGACGTTATATTTTATCTGATGGATTTCATTATTTAGACCTTATATTTTATCTGATGGATGTCATTATTTAGACCTTATATATTTAATCTGATGGATTTCATTATTTAGACGTTATATTTTATCTGATGGATTTCATTATTTAGACCTTATATTTTTTCTCATGGATTTCATTATTTAGACGTTATATTTTATCTGATGGATTTCATTATTTAGACCTTATATTTTATCTGATGGATGTCATTATTTAGACCTTATATTTTATCTGATGGATGTCATTATTTAGACCTTATATCTTATCTGAAGGATGTCATTATTTAAACCAGATATCTTATCTGAAGGATGTCATTATTTAGACATGATATCTTATCTGATGGATGTCATTATTTAGACCTGATATTTTATCCGATGGATGTCATTATTTAGACTTTATGTTTTATTTGTTGGATGTCATTATTTAGACCTTATATTTTATCTGATGGATGTCATTATTTAGACCTTATATCTTATCTGAAGGATGTCATTATTTAAACCAGATATCTTATCTGAAGGATGTCATTATTTAAACCAGATATCTTATCTGAAGGATGTCATTATTTAGACATGATATCTTATCTGATGGATGTCATTATTTAGACCTGATATTTTATCCGATGGATGTCACTATTTAGACTTTATGTTTTATTTGTTGGATGTCATTATTTAGACCTTATTTTTTATCTGAAGGATGTCATTATTTAGACCTCATATCTTATCTGAATGATTCATTATTTAGACCTTATATCTTATCTGATGGATGTCATTATTTAGACCTTATATCTTATCTGATGGATGTCATTATTTAGACCTGATATCTTATCTGAAGGATGTCATTATTTAGCCCTGAAATCTTATCTGATGGATGTCATTATTTAGACCTGATATCTTATCTGAAGGATGTTATTATTTAGACATTATATTTTATCTGATTGATGTCATTATTTAGACTTTATATCTTTTCTAATGGATGTCATTATGCGAACCTTATAGGTGATTTGAAGAATGTTGTGTCGAATTAATATCAAGATTCTCTCGGCTACATTGTTCACTAATGAACTCTCAAGTTTTTCTTCAATCATTATTTCTTTAATTTGTTAATCTCCAAGCAATATGACCCCTTCGTCTCTAGTAGCATTATATTACCCCCATAATATCCACTACCATTACTTTAATCCATAATATCCAGAACTATTATATTACCCCATTATATTCAGTAAAATTACATTACACGATTCGCTCCTTACCATACACAACTTACAACCTTATTATTTTGAGCTGTATTTTAAACTGATGTTAACGGCTTATAGTCCAGACAGACTTGTATTTATGTTTATTCTTTGCACATGTGCACGTCGGTGCACCAAACAAAAGATGGATTGCTTTATTTCTATTTAAATACGAATCGTACGGAATCTTATCTAAAAATATCTATTCTCCCATGATGTTTAAGCGTCTGGTATCCATGTTGATGCCTGTTCACGTTCAGCACTGGTGCCCACTGCACTACTCCAATGTGTCTACGGAATGGTGCGCATCGCACTACTCTACTGTGTCTACGGGATACTATGGTGGAGAATTCGTTCAAGCTATGTGATGGGAATTGTAAAAACTGTACTCGTTCGTCCTTCGCATTCGGAGATGGCCAAGGCTTTATTTAAAGGATGAGACGCAGGCGGTTTGCCAGTCCTGTTTGTGTTCTAGTAGGATTTAGGTCGGTTCTACTTTTCCTTGCAGTGTGCTTTCTTTTGATGTGAGTGGTGCACTTATTCTCTGAGGACTGTGCTCCGACAGTCAGACCACCACGCCAGCCCGCACGGTCCACAGCAAGTCGTGTCTCCTACTAATCAAGGTCAATGTTCAAGGATCTGGGTGAACCTTTAAGAGCATTTTTTTCTGCCCACCAGCTGAGCTTTTTCCACTAGAGAGTTTACAAACATTAGTCATTTGGGAAGTCTGTTGTCCGGGATTCTCGCGACATGCCCTGCCCATCTGGCTCGCCCTTTTCGTAGGAGCGTGGGGTTGCTGATAACAT